GCGGGCGAGGCCCAGGCGCGCTTCGGGCACTCGGTGAAGGGGCTGCTGAGCGAGAAGGTGACCGGCTGCGGCACCGACGTCATCGCCCTCACCAAGCAGGTGCTGAAGGGCTCCCGCAGCGCCGAGGTGAGCGGCGGGACTACGGGCCCCGGCATGCACCGCGCGGCCTCCCGCCGGGCCGCCCTTCATCGCGGGGCATGCTGGGAGGTGGAGTCCTGGGGAGGCAGGTGCATGCCCTGGGAGGGGCGCGGGGCATGCTGGGAACTGTGGTCCTGGGGAGGCAGGTGCCTGCAGCTGGGCAGCGCAGTGCATTGTGGGAGTCCTGCCCCTGCAGGGCTTGGTGCCCTGCCTGGCTCCTGGTGCGGGGTGCAGCCCCTGTGCAGCCCCAGGCGTGGGCAGGCGGGGCCACGACACAGTCACCCCGCCCCTGCCCCCAGTTCCCCTGCGGTCCTGCCGGGCAGCAGCCCCAGGGGATCCCCGGGGCGCTGGGTCTCCACCTCTGACTGCAGCCTGCCTGCGTGTCTTTCAGCTCCTGGGCCAGGCTGCTAGGAACATGGTGCTGCAGGAGGACGCCATTCTGCACTCGGAGGACGTAAGCAGACGCTTTCTGCTGAAGCCAGGGCCGTCGAGCCACGGGCAGCGCGGACGCGAGACCGCACGGCCTCCTGCTGCCTGCGTTGGAGGGGGGGTCGTCTCGCTAGAGTCCGGGGATGGGGGTCCTGGGGCGGTCTCTGCTGCCATTCGCAGCGAAGCGCCCGGGGGAATCGGGCCCTTATCTTCTCTGTGCCTCAGTTTCCTCCCTTAGAAAATGAAGCTGAGCGCGCTGGGCTCGGAGAGGGGAGGGCATCGGGATCGGCCCTTCCCTCCGCGTGTAGCTCGCCCCCGAGAGAGTCGCGCTGACTGCCTTTGACCGTGCCTTTGCAGGGCGAGTCTTTGCGCTGCTTTGGGCCCCCCTCGCCCCGTGCTCCGTGAACGCTCCTGTCATCGTGATCCAGTCTAACCGGCGTGCCCACCTGGCTCTCGGACACACGGGGCTGCAGCCCTGCCCTGGCTGAGGGGCTGCTCGAGATCCTTCGGGACTCGTGCACTGTTAACCTCCCAGTGTTGTATTTTGGCCCCCACTGGTGGGACGCTGGTGAGCTGTCGGGGGGCAGAGCGCGGCGTGCTGGCCCAGGGCTGTGCTCTCTCCCCGTCTAAACCTGCGCAGAACAGCCTTCGCTCTCGGGGCGGCAGCTGCAGTCAGTCAGATCCAGGATCTCAGCTGCCAGGGTCAGAGCACCGAGGCCAGACGTAGCTACCCCAGTAAACGTCGCTGAGCAGGCAGGCAGGGGCATCGACTCGGCTTGGGCAGCGCAGGCCCCTGCCAGCAGCTCCGCTCTGGCATTGGCAGGAGTGATGTGCACCTAGCCCCGCCGAACACGGGCCGCCCAGACTGAATCCAGACGCTGGCACAGTTCCTCCTCCCCTTGGACACCCGGCAGCACAGGCAGGCAGGCGTGGATCCCATGAAGGAGTGCGATTGCGCTGATGCACCCCCTGGATACGCCCCGTGGGCGGGTGGGTTTAGAACAGTGCCAGGCCCAAGCTGCTCCCGTGGAGGCGAGAGCAAAGGTCCCGAGGCCACGTTGCAACCAGGAGGGCTCGTGCGATGAGCCCGTCGGTGTCCCTGCGGTGCTGGCGCTGAGCTGCTGGGGGTGGAAGGGACCACGGGAGCTGCTGCGGAGTGGAGTGGGGTGATTCTGCCTGGAGATCTTGTGCCAGAGAAGGTGTCTGATTGTCCGCTTTGTCCTGCAGAGCCTGAGGAAGATGTCCATCATCACTACGCATCTGCAGTACCAGTAAGTGGGGGCTCTGGACCTTGCAGGGCTCCGGCTCGCTCTGCTTGGGGCCTGCTCCCCAGACAGGGCCAAAAGGGAGGGTGCTTGTCCCCAGCTGTGTGGAGCTGGATCAGCCTGACCCAGGAGTGGCCGAGGCTCCCCCATCACCAGCACCACATGCTCCTGCTGAGCCTGGATGGTGCCCCCTTAGCAAAGGCAAAAGAAACCACCCCAGTCCCCCTTCCCACGCTGATCCCTTGCATCCTTCCCTCCTCTGGCCGTTGGTCATCGATGTTTGTGCAAGGCAGGAGCATGCAGCTGCTGGCAAAAGAGCTCCCTGTGACCCACAGCCCTTCCCCCTGCCTGGGCCAGGAAGTGCCTGGCAGCCATGGGGCAGCTCTGATGGGAGCTGCCGGATCCCAGCCTCGCTCTGTCTGAGCAGAGGTGCTTCCTCTCCCCTCCCCAGCCCAGCTCTCGTGTGCACGGCCAAAGCTGGGGCCATTGGGAGCCTGTCCTAGAAGCGGCCTGAAGGGTTTGGCTCCTGAGCTGGCAGTCGAGCCCATTTTGCAGCCCCCCTGCTCTCTCTGACCATGCCGTGTCCCTTCTCTTCTTTCCTAGGCAGGAGGCCATCCAGAAGAAGTGAGTATGCCCTGTTGTCCTGATTCTCCCACCTCTCTTGCTCACCCCCATTGATGTGCCCTGCCCGGCAGGGTTTGTCGGGCACCCGGCTGTGCTGTCGGCAGGTAGCACTGCACCGCCGTGGGAGCAGCATCTTGGAGGTGCCCCGGTGCTGTCTTTTCCCCGGGAGAGATTGAAGGAGAGACCCAAGGGCTGTTTCCAAGGCTGGGGAGCCCCTTGGGAGAGCTCAGGGGTCTGCTGGAGCAGCGATGCCAGAGGGGGTGACCTTTTCTCCAGGCAGCTGCTGGCAGCTGGTCACATTTGTTATGGGAGCTGCAAAGAGAGGAGTGACATTATCAAAGCTACCAGCAAGGAAGTGTCTCTGCAGCAGCCTCCTCCTGATCAGGCCAGGGGGGCGATCTTACCGTCCAGGGCCAGGAAAGGAGTCTGCTTTCACAGAGACACGAGACGGGGAGAGATGAGGCAAAGGGGAATTTGAAAATTGCAGAACCAAAGATTTGGGGGTTTTTTTTTTAAGCCTGGTGTGAATGTGTTCATGGGCATTTCCCCAGGATGCAGAGCAGCAGACTCTGGGTTGCAAAGAATATTGTCCCCTAGATTTAGGTTTTGACACAGACATGCACATGTATGGGTGCATGTACCTGCACATGCGCACAGCCTGAGCTGGGTCACAGAGTCCTTGGGGATCCAGCACAGGCCTTGGCACTTCGTGCAGGCAGCTCCTTGTCCTCTGCTGCGAGTTCAGCTCGGCCCTGCCCTGAGTGGGTAGCACCTTCCCTCCCCGTGGAAGATCACACCCATCAGGCCTGTTCTCTGCCTGCCCCACAGCGGGTGTTCAGTAGATCCTGCAGGTGTCTGGGATCTCAGTAAATCCTTGCCTACCCTGCAGGGTTCGTAGCTTGGAGGCTCGCAGAGGCCTGAGCTTGGGCTGCTCTGGCCTGGTCCCAGATCGATGTGTCCGTGATGCCCCAGGAAGTGGGCGCATGGTCCTCTGGACCTTTCCCCCTCAAACCCTCTCTGGTAGCTCCCTTCTCTCCCCTGTGGAGTGGGAGAGTGGAGCCCAGAGGGCTTGGCTCAGGTGACCCTGGAGGCCCCTTCAAGCCCTGTGATGGCAGGTGTGGGGAACTGATCTCGCCTGACCCCTCTCTCCTGTCCGCTTCTTAGCGTCGAGCAGTCGTCCAACCTGCAGGACCAGCTGCGGCACCTCCTCAAATGAGACGAGAGCCCCGAACTTCTGAGACCGCTGCCGCCAGGGTCGCTGCTAGGATGTACCGTGTCGTGGGAGCTGCTGATGCCCTTGCTCCTTCTGCTTCGGTGTTGAGGTGGCATGCAGAGCTGAGCTGGAAGGCGGCTGGGGGCACCCACCCCCTCTGCTTCTCACACCCCCTCTCCCATGGTTAGCTGCTCACTTGCATTCAGTTTTGAGCGGACTTTACCCTGCCCCCCAGTGCTCGGTCTCTTCCCTGCGCAGCGCACTGCCTGAAGAGCTGCCCTCACCTCCTCCGGGCTGCCATGGCCTGGCTAGTGGCGCCGCAGCCACGTGTTTAATATGAGCAGCCGGCTCAGCCCTTGCGTCTCCCACGGCCCCTCCACACTCGTTACACTCCTCCCAGCTGTGCTGGACCTGGTTTTTGCAGACCTCACAGGGTGGCCCCCAAACCCTTCACACGAGGTTACACGCCCCACCCTGTCATGTGTAGGGCTGGCACTCACAACCCCCACCTCCATCTCTGTGGCGTGCTAGCCAGAGAGACAAGCAGCTGCCTCTGCTCTGTGGCGGGGACCAATGCTCCGGTGATTATTTTACATGTGGATGCAGGTATTTAACGTGGGCCAGGGTCTTTATAATTGGGCGTCCAGGTATACAGAGGAGCCGCGGTCTCTGCCATAATAAATCTCTGTAGCAAGTGCCACCCGTACGCTGTTGTTCTGTCTTCCCGTGTGCTCTGTGCAGCCGGGGTGTGGACCGCGGGTCCTCGTGCCAGTACATCTGCTCTCCGTTTTGGCCTTGAGCCGCATTCCTCCTGTTCTGTGGCTCTTGATTACGCAGCCTTGGCTTCATTATGCAACTCTGTACAGAATCAGTAAACTATTCATGCCTCCAGCTGCGCGGGGCGGGCGCGCGGCTTCAAGAGATGCAATCGCCGCACCTGCCCCATTGAAGCCGGCTGCCGTGTTTCCAGGGGCCGTGTGCGGAGGCAGGACGGGGTCCCATTGAAATCAGCCCCGGCGTTTTGGTGAATTGCCTGCCCGGCTCCGGCTCCCCGTCTCTCCCCTCCCCCAGCCTCAAGTGTCTTCTTCACCGTCTCTTTTATTGCAGCGTTGCTTGAGCAGGGAGCTCAGGCTGGCACGGGGCCCTAGTGTGGTGCAGTGCCCTGGTTTGGGGGTTTCCCACCCCCCAGCTGAGGGAGGCATAAAAAGCACCTCAATTTCCTTTATTCTTCTCAAGGGACGCTGGTTCCTCTTGGATTTCTTACCCCTCCCTTCTTTTTCCCCCACAGCATATGTCCTCATTAGTTTCCAGCCCTGGACATGACTGACCCGGGGTAACGGGGTGCGCGACGGCTAAAGGGGAGCCTGGACTTTGCTCCGTCCTTTTGCGCTGGTGGGGTGGGCTGGGCTGGTCGCTGAGACCCCGACAAGGAGGTAGAAGTGGCTGGGTGTCATTCAGGAGCACCTGGACCCCCTGGCTTGAAGGGCGCCCACTTGCCTAAGGACATCCATCACCCGAACTAGTGCAGGGCTGACGTGTGACCGTGGGGCAGGGGCATGGCAAGTCCCAGGCTAGGGTTAGGATTAGGGTTAGGGTTAGGGACATTGCCCAGTCCCCTGCGGGGGGGCGGGGTTAGAATG